TAATTTTTTTTTTCTTTTTTGAATTATTATTTATTATATAAATCGAAACCGGAAATGGAAATTTTTTTGTTTGTGAAAAATGTCGCCGATGTTATTATTTCATTTAATTATGGATTTTTTTTTATCGAATGTAAAAAAAAAAAATGACAAATGGAAAAAAAAAATAAAAATTCCTTCGGGGGGTGTATATTTTGAAAAAAAAATTTTTTTTTTTTCCGCATCAAATTTGATGTTGTCACTATCATAGATTTGATTTTTTTTTTTTTATGTAACCACGTGATGATATAAAAAAAAGGAAAAAACGTCGCAAAAAAATTTTGTCGAATCGATACAAACGACGACTCATATGCAAAGCAACCGACAAAAAAAAAAAATTTTCATTTTATTTCCGGGAAAAAAAAAATTAAAAAAAAATTGAACATGAAAGGCGGGGGGGGGAGGGAGAGGGGGGGAACTACCCTCTCCATCGGCTCCTCGAAAAAATAATAATAATAATAATAATAAATTTTCTTTCGAGTTTATTAAATTTTAATTTTATAAAAAAAAAAAAAAATTTTCTTCTTCTTCTTATTTATATAATTTTGTTTCCAGCCGTCCTTTTTTTTTTTCATAAAAAAAACGAGAGGAATGGGTAGGGAATAAGTTTAATAAAGGCTTTTTTCTTTTTTTTAAAATCTGGAAAACCATAACCGGAAATGAATTAAAAACAAAACAAAAAAAAAAAAGAAAATTTATTTTCCGATTTAAATTTTTTTTTTCTCTCGACAGCAGGAAAATTAAAATAAATTAAAAATTAAATCAAATTAACGTAATTAAAATATTTAAAAAAACAAATTTTAATATTTTTTTTCGTGGGGGACCCAAAATGCAGTACGCGAGACGCCATCGCCCCCCCCCCTTCGAGTTGTATGAACTTCCGACCAAATTAAAATTTTTCACGATTAAATTTACAAAAAAAAAAAAAAAATTTTCAACGGTTAAAAATTTTTTTTTTCCTTTATTCAAACTCACACCCCCGCCCCCAAAAAAAAAGGAATCGAAATTTTTTATGATAACGTTAACCTCACCCGATAAAAACGTTTTTACGTTTACCTCCCTCTTATAAATCAATGACGATTTATTACTGGGCAAAAACTTTAAATTTTCATCACCACCATTTGCCACCCCCCACCCCCATTACGCCAAAAAAAAAATTTCCTTTGGCACAAGCAGAAGACGAAAAATTTCTTCAAAGTAAAATTTTACCTACACACTTTTACTAGTATCATTCGATGACGAAAACTTTTTTTTTAAAAAAAAAAAAAAGTAAAAGGAAAATAATTTGATTTTCCTTTGATATGAGATCCATTTTCCTTTTTTTTTATACCTTTTTTTCATATGATGAAATCATCGAACTTGAAATTTTTTTTTTTTTTTTCCACCAAAAATTTACGGCGAAAACTTTTTTTCAAAAAAAATTTTTTTTTCCTTATGTGAGTGACGTCACGACGAAAATTCGGTTTAAAAAAAAAAAAAGTTAATTTATGCAAATCGATTATTTCGACCAATAAAAAAATCTATATTAAAATAATTAAATCTGATTGGTTGGGTAATCGGATGTGGGAGGAGAGTAAAAGGGAAAGGGGAGGGGATTAAAAAAATTTTTTTTTTTCCACGTTTTCTTTTACCTGAGTTTTTTTTTATTTTGGTCATTTTTCGGTTGAAAAAAATCAAAAAAATTTATTAAAATCGATAATCGATTAATCGATTTTTCTCATTCCCCTCCCCTCCCCGCGTCTTCTCACCCCCCCCTCAAAATTGTTTGTAATTTTTTTTTTAAATCTTTACAAAAACGCATATTTTCTCTCGTCATTTTGTTTTTTTTTTTTTTTTTTTTTTTAAATAAATAAAAAAATTTTTTTCATTCTCGAAATTTTTTTCTTTAAAAAAAAAAAAAAATCATTTCATCGTATTTTATAATTCGCTACCCTTAACAAAATTTTTTTTAAGGGTATTTTTTCCGACAAGAAATGGAAAAGAGGGAAAAAAAAATAAATTTGGCGACAAAAATTTTTTTTTTTTTTGAGTCTGTGAAATCTTCATTAAGGGTAAATTGAATTTTTATTTTATATATAAATTAATTTATGACGTCATTTCATTTAATTTTTTCTGGTAGTTTTTTTGAGTGGAATTTCGGATTGAAGAAAGTGACTTTTTAGATTGTTCGCAGGGGGGAGGGAGGGAAAGGTACCCGTTTAGAAATTTTCTTTTGATCAATTTCAAACATCGTTTAAACTTTCGTAAATGTTGAAAACATTAATTTAATTATACGATGTTGAAATTGACCTTTGGAAAAATTCTCACGTTCTCATCTAAATAAACAGACGACGACTTTTTCTCACTCGTATCAATATCCCGTCGCCATATTGTAAAAAAAAAAAAAAAAAACTTTTTTTTCTAAAAAAGTCGATAAAATCCGAAACGAATTTTTAAAATTTTCATGTTATTACGGTTTTTTGACATCGTTGGATTCGAACGTGCCGACCAAGTCACCGAAGAGACCCTTTTTTTTTCCTTTTATTATCATTATTATCATCGGAACCGTCATTTCATTTTTCATATTTTATATATTTTATTACGTAATAAAAATAAAAGCAGTAAAAAAAAAAAATTTCTTTTTTTTGTTTTTGTTTAAATAAAAATTTAAAAAAAAAAAAAAACGTACAAGAAGTCAAGGA